CTTAAAGGGTGTTATTTCGAACTTGTCGAAATAGTAACCCGTCGTCGTTTGATCGAGGTCGAACTCTTCTCTTTTTTGTGAAGGCCCTTGGCCTTAAAGAGTGTTATTTTGAACTTGTCGAAATAGTAACCCGTCGTCATTTGATCGATGTTGAACTCTTCTCTTTTTGGCGAAGGCCCTTGGCCTTACAGGGTGTTATTTCGAACTTATCGAAATAGTAACTCGTCGTCGTTCGATCGAGGTCGAACTCTTCTCTTTTTGGCGAAGGCCCTTGGCCCTAAATGGTGTTATTTCGAACTTATCGAAATAGTAACCCGTCGTCGCTCAATCGAGGTCGAACTCTTCTCTTTTTGGCGAATGCCCTTGGCCTTAAAGGGTGTTATTTCGANAAAATAGTAACCCGTCGTCTTTCGATCGAGGTCGAACTCTTCTCTTTTTGGCGAAGGCCCTTGGCCTTAAAGGGTGTTATTTCGAACTCGTCGAAATAGTAACTCGTCGTCGTTCGATTGAGGTCGAACTCTTCCCTTTTGGCGAAGGCCCTTGGCCTTAAAGGGTGTTATTTCGAACTTATCGAATTAGTAACCCGTCGTCGTTCGATCGAGGTCAAACTCTTCTCTTTTTGGCAAAGGCCCTTGGTCTTAAAGGGTGTTATTTCGAACTTGTCGAAATAGTAACTCGTCGTCGTTCGATTGAGGTCGAACTCTTCCCTTTTGGCGAAGGCCCTTGGCCTTAAAGGGTGTTATTTCGAACTTATCGAATTAGTAACCCGTCGTCGTTCGATCGAGGTCAAACTCTTCTCTTTTTGGCGAAGGCCCTTGGCCTTAAAGCGTGTTATTTCGAACTTGTCAAAATAGTAACTCGTCGTCGTTCGATTGAGATCGTACTCTTCTCTTTTTGGCGAAGGCCCTTGGCCCTAAATGGTGTTATTTCGAACTTCTCGAAATAGTAACTCATTGTCGTTCGATCGAGGTCGAACTCTTCTCTTTTTGGCGAAGGCCCTTGGCCTTAAAGGGTGTTATTTCGAACGTATCGAAATAGTAACCCGTCGTCGTTCGATCGAGGTCGAACTCTTCTTTTATTGGCGTAGGCCCTTGGCCTTAAATGGTGTTATTTCGAACTTCTCGAAATAGTAACCCGTCGTCGTTCGGCTGAGGTCGAACTCTTCTTTTTTGGCGAAGGCCCTTGGCCTTAAAGGGTGTTATTTCGAACTTATCGAAATAGTAACCGATCGTCGTTCGATCGAGGTCGAACTCTTCTCTTTTTAGCGAATGCCCTTGGCCTTAAAGGGTGTTATTTTGAACTTATCGAAATAGTAACTCGTCGTCGTTCGATCGAGGTCGAACTCTTCTCTTTTTAGCGAATGCCCTTGGCCTTAAAGGGTGTTATTTCGAACTTATCGAAATAGTAACTCGTCGTCGTTCGATCCGAGTTCAGAACTCTATTGTTAATTACTTGTCAGTTGAACTTAAATTTCTGACATTGTAAGGTAACAGTGAAAGAGTGAAAGGAAGCTGGAAATATAACTGATATTTTTCTCCCCCTTGTGGAATGGCCAAATCACTTTTGGTGTGATGGAAAGTCAAACACAATATCGTAACTATAATATGATTCTTCTATGACTGTTCTTAAGTCCAAGAGGAGTTTGTCATGTTCGGAGAGGGCAGATCAGACTAGGGGTATTACTACTGGTTTTCAACTTTAAAATAGAGGAAAGGCTAGTGCTACTAAATCTGATTCTCTAGTAATTAGGCCCAATTTTTATGACGTTCTTAATAGTTAAGCATCTAATAAAGGTGGTTAAAAGGACAGACAGAGGAAAAAAGAAAAGGGGAATGCTTCAAAGGAAAGGACGACGACGAGAAGCATGTTTTAATGTTTAGCTATTTGAAAGCCTTAATATCATGCTGATTACTTTCACCCAATCGTACAGCAAGGTAAACTTGGTTAGTACCAAAAGTTCGAAGTTTACTTCATATGTGGACACTGTATGGGTCAAAATCTGACCACACGTGGATTAGCGCTAACAAGAATGGTATATAAAAGGTTGACTAAGTCGTGGTCGTACCCACAAGATGTAATAACAATGAATACCTCGGCCACTGCTGAGATCGAGCCGTCAAAAAGCGTGTATGGCGAAGTAAATATCGTAGTACTTGAGGGTGGCGACGTGAAGTACAATCAAGGGATGAAGACATTCTGGTTAAGGACCGATGGATAAAAGGGAACACTGACAATATATATAGGAGGTAAGAAGACATGAAAATGGGGCTTCCTCTCCTGGAAGGAGAAGAAGGGAAGAAAACCAAGAAAAGTTTTAGATAGTGAATACAAATCTCTATAATCGTGATTATTGAATCAAAAGGATAGATCTCGTTATTGTCGATGGCATCCCATCTTTTCTGTCTTTATCACAACATCATGGGAAAATATGTCAAGAATGTAAGCCTATTATTTACATTTGACATCTTATAAAGTTTATAAGCTTGATTATATCTTTTTCTCTTATTCCATGTGTTTAGATCTAGAGTTAATTATCCTTGGCTAAGATTCATCCTCTATTTTCATCATTAATTAGTTAAACAAAAAGCTTAACACTTTTTGGTCAAACAAACACAAGTTCAAAGCAAAGTGAAAAAGGGAAAATAAATATTCACAAACACAAGATCCAACCTGTCGTCTCTCTCCGAACAATAGAAATCACCTTAACATTATTTATTGCAAGCTTGCTGCAAATATTCGCAGAGAAGTCAGAAAATAGTTTAAGATTATTGACATTTGTACTATATCTTCAATCCATCTTTTACATCCGTGCGCAAGTTTCAGTCAATGATACAAAAGAATGAAGTTAGTTTCTGTTGCTTTCAATTGAATGCATTTACAGTAAAGAGTCTTTTGATTAAAAGAAATGATGAAGGACATACAAAAGGAAAACATATAGTAATAGTTGAAAGGGCCTACTCCTTACAAGGTAAGACTGAAATGTAGTTTCCTTTCTTCCTGTATGGACCTAAATATCCGAGCTGCTGATTCAGGTGCTGTCTTAGGGTTGTGAGGCACAACCTTAATCACTTGAATTCGCTGCTCCGTATTGTGATCCTCAACTGTTTGACTTTGAAACTTCGAAAAGTCTCCTCGAACAGCAGACAAGTTCACAGGCGTAAAATTACCATAAGTTGATGCCACGAAACCGGGAGGAGGAGGACAAGGTCCGGTATAGTTTTTGTAAACAAGTCCTTCAGAAGGTGACCTTATTGGAACTAAGCACTGATTTCCAGGAAGTGGTAATTTGGGATCAGAAGTAACAGATCTTGATATCGGTGTCCCTACGTATGAATTTTGAGTTGGCTGCTGTGGTATGTGTCTTCTATCATTTTCATTATCGAGAGTAAGCAGCTTTTCGGGAGCATTATTATCCGCTGAATGCTCAAAAGTTATAGGTTTCGTAGGATCAACCTTTGCTTTAACAGGCACCGCAGAAGATTCGCGAACATTATTGGATAGCAACTTTTTCACTGAAGATCTGATAGAAGGTTGGGTGAGATAGAAGTTGTTTTCAAATAATATATCTGGTGATGCGGCAATCAACTTCTGCACCTGAAAAAGATAGTAGCTTAAGTAAATTCTAACCCTCCAGGTTACATTTAGTGTTTCGCCAAAAATGTGAAGTACCTTTATGAGCCTGTGTAGCTCAAACACTTGTATCGCCAAGATCCGTTGTTGGCTGAAAATAGTAAACAGCAAGTTAATAATACATCACAGACAAAAAGAAAAACTAATAATTGACCAAAAACACAGCAGAAACCTCTGTCCCAGAAGTATTTCCTCAAATTCCTTGTCGATATATTACTTTAAGAAGGCCAATGCACTGAGCCAGCGACGGACCATACACAAACTTGGACACCAAAGTAACATGAAACCTTCTATTGATTGTCGCAAATTAGATACTTTGGCAAAGTACATTTTAATATGAAGGATAGTGTTTATGCCAATTTAACCACCAGTTAGTAGATAAAATGACTTCTTCCACTTGTGCAGTTCAAAGTTCTAGCAAGTGGTGTTATCTAGATAAATAAATGGAACAGTGTAGCACGGGGGCAGAGACTGAAAGTAAAATCAAATTCGTATCAGCAAAATTACTTTACTAACTTCTCGTGTCGAGCCTCAAGTTTACAAGTCTACCATCACGCTACCCTGGAAATACATGAAAGAAATTAGGCTTACTGTACTATGGTTCTTCTTGCTATGCAGAATAGTTTCGGACCAATCAATTCCATGACATTATCTGGAGATACTTCAACGAATGACAGAGAATTTGAAGTGCCTGAAATTCCCTCACGTCTGCCAGCATCTCCTAACTTAGCCCTCTTTAGAGATCGATGGTCATCCTCAAGGGGTAGATAGGGACATAGTCGATCCTCCTTCATGTAAGCACGTCTCTTTGCTGATGAAACATCTGAATTGGCCTGGCTTACATCCAGAATACAAAGATCATTGCTCCTTTCAAAAGCATTGGTAGGAGAATTACTATTAGAGCATGATAAACTCTGTGGCTGAGAAGGATTAGGACATAAAGCCTTATGATTTAGAGGCTTCAGTTGTTGTACATCAGGATGTCTCGCCATACAATTCGTTCCACTAGAAGAATATGGAAGAATCATCTCAACAAAATGAGTAGACTGGGATGAATTGCAGAACGGAGAAAACGGAGTTCTGTAATTGCTATCAACCTATGACCGACGAAGACATTCTGTGAGCAGATGAAATGAAACAGCTTATATCAACTTCTCAGCTAGCACTTATCAGCCAATATTTGGCCCAAAGTATTTTATAGTTCACAAAATCACAAGCCATTAGCACCAAGGTCCTTACCTCATCCCATCGTTAAGGAAAAACATGGAACATTATCAATTAAGCAAAGCTAGCTAAAACTATTATTCTATGGTGGTTAATGTATTGGTCTAAATTTGGCGACTAGGCAGTAAGGGATAAGCGAGATCAAGGACGGGGTCAACTGCGGGTAGTAACTGAAAGCCGCTCTCGAGAGGGCTGATGCCAAAGACGGGCAGCTGAGATGAAGAAATAACAGTAGCATAGGTTCAAATATGAATATAAGAAATATTCCTTTGGATATTCCTTAATTTGTACTTTTTAGGATTTTGGGGAAATATCTCCCATAAATAGAAGGAGATAGAAACAAAAAGTGTTGGAATAAACTCCCTACAAAAATAATATTCACGGTACTAAAAACGGAATAATAATGTAGCACCGAGATACGATAATTAACACGGATAAAAGAAGACACCAAGATTTTTACGTGGAAAACTCTTTTGAATAAGGGAAAAAAACACGGTCCTGAGACGAGCAACTGATATCACTATAGCAAGGAATTTTACACTTTGTAGGTCCGAGTAAAATACTCCAAAGACCACTACAACACTCAAAAGAAATGACCCTCTTTTGATATTTTTATCTCACTACAATATCGCTCACTCTCTATTTTCCTCACAGACTATTTTCTTATACCTTATCTATGAAACCTCACTCTTTCTTTCTTTCTTTGTTGGTGTATCAAAATAAGGGCCGAAGCTCTCCTTTTATAGGCAGAGCCTCGCCTATTACATTTGACATTTCCTTCTGCACGCCTGCCGAATTTGACAAATGCAAAAGAGATGATGGTTGCCAACTTTGAAAACAACCAACAAGGAAGAAAAGTCTTCCTTAATTAATGGGATGGACCCCACAAAAAGGGGATCTTCGCTTTATGAGAAAAAACACATTGTAAAAGATTGACCTGAGAGAATATACAACAGTTGTCTTGTTCATTAATTATCCTATTCAAACATACGTTTTTGCTTCTTTATTCACAAGATCCAAAGATCCCTCAACCTTCTTTATTTCTCTTTTCCCCACGATGATGTCAGAGAAAAGAACCATCCAAGTGTTACAATAATTGGGTGGTAGATTCCTTTTTGTTATATTCATTGTCACTATCTACATTTATTGCACAATATTTATGTTATTGCATTTACGAGCATTTAATCGGCTGCATTTACGAGCATTTAATCGGTACAAACACACTGATTAACGTTGTTTATCTTAACCGGCTTTGAATATAATATTTGGTGTAGATTTTATTATTCTTAACTAAGATTCACCGTTCATTTTATCATTAATTGATTTAACTGAAAGGTTCATAACTTTTTGGTGAAACAGTTAATAAGCTAAGTTATCAAATAGGAAAACAGTTTCTGAATCTGAACAGGACAAGAAATAAACATATGAAGAAATTTAAGTCAATAAAAGAATCTGATGTCTTGGTCCATGCATTTTGATTTGTTTATATATCTTTTGGAGTGCTAGTATTCTATCTTATGTGTGGTTTACCTCTATAAACATGTCAAAAGCTGCATTGACATGTTTGAGCATTTAAGAGAATGCAATTTACCAGCCAAAGGATGTTTAATCGACTCAACAGCGAACAACAATCAATTCAGGTTATTCGAAATTCAAGCAACTATACTGAAGAAGACAAAGAGAACATTAAAATGCTTTACTTACAAGAGCTATTTTGGTAATGGCGGCGGACTGTTCACAAAGAGCCATTTTGTTCCCTCCTTTATCGGTATCATTGATATGTAGCCTCGGAAACATACAAGAAGATTTGAAACTGTTTAGCAGATTAGTAGTACACTTCTAAAGATGCACACAATGAGCCTACCCCACAGAAGTGAAAACGGTTTTCTGTTTACAATATTGAAAAGGCCAAATAATGAAGAAACAAGAAATACTATCACAGAAAAGGTGAGTCTTTTATTATGTAGTGCAGTGAAGAAGATTGAACAAGGATAGGTTGACAGTCATGTGGGAATCAGAAAAAGAAGATCACATGAACCAATAGAAGAGGAGAATGAAATATGGACATTATAAGACCAACAGTGGATAGAAAAATATAAAATTGCTTCAAATGGTTGACGCTTGGAACCACAAGTGCCACATTATAAAATCTGGCCAATCTTTTCACAGAAAAATCTGTAAAATATCTGGCTCTTTTGCCCTTTATTATTAATCTCATTCGTTCTAGTTAGTCTAATGAATGAGTCTAAGGCCTCATTTATTTGTACTTAATGAAGCTCTGAATCTTAATCATTTAAGATCTCAGATATTAAGCGCGTTTGTTTTTTAAGTTTGAATCTTAATTATTAAGTGTGTTTTCTTTTTTTTACTTCACAATCACTTAATGGGTCTGAATAGGTTTATATGATTAAGATCCATAACATGGACTTAATTTAATTAAGATGCTATCATTCATATTCATTATTAATTGTCATAACCGCCTACTATCATCAACAACCACCATGCAACCACCAGGGGCGGAGCTACAGTAGTGGGTACGGGTTCGGGCAAACCCAGTGACTTTTTCCGAAACCTTGTATATGTATTGAAATATTCATTATATATATATATAAATATATAATGCCGAACTTAGTAACAAAATGGTTCTAGGTTCAATGGTAAGGGTTGGGCTTGCTGTGAAAGAAGCAGTGTTTTATTTTGTTGCTTTTCACATTTTTTTAATACAAATCACAAACTGAACGATGACGTTTTCTTTTAATAAACATAAAAACGTTTTTGCTCAGACGTTCCTCTAAATAGAGACTAAACTAACATTTATCTTTTAATAAATAAAATAAAAAAACATTTTCTTTCTTTCTAATAAAGAAAAGAACAAAAGCCTTCCAACTCCAAAGACCAAACGACAAATCCCAATTCCCAAATCAAGAAAACTAGGGGTCTTCTCTGCCTCTGTTTATCGACAATCACTACTAGTCTGCTACCACAATCTGTTGGACGTCCTCCAATTCTCTGCTGTGTATGCTCTTTCTCACTTAGAAGTTAGACCCATTTTTCTTCTTCAATTCTTTTTTTCTGATTTTGTGCTTCATATGTTTCTCTTATATTTTATATTTGATAATTTATACAAAATTTGATTTTTAATCTTTGATTCTAGGGTTGTCCCACATTTTGACCTCTATTCTTTTGGTCAATTTGTGCTTTTGTATTTTCCAAAAGCTCAAACCTGGAATCCCTGACAAACCGGTAGACAAGGTATGTGGTCCATTGATCCTACTTTCTTGTTTTCAATTTCTTAGTGAGACCAACTTACATTCACATAGGTACTAGTCAGAGATTAAATTATCATTGTTATAAAATATAACCTAAAATAACAATATAGAACAAGCAAAAACAAACTAAGAGATATAGAGCGAAAGAGAGATTCTTATTTTTTCTTCAATTGTGTGTATTTTCCTATCTATTACAAGGCCTTTATATAGGCATAAAAGTGAAGAAAATATGTCATGGAATATATCATTGAACATACAAAATATGTCATTAAACATTTGAGATGAAGATTATGGAAGAAGAGTAGACATCCAACATAATGTGATATTTATCATAACACTCCCCCTTTGATGTCCATAGATAATGTACCTCGTTAAAACCTTATTAGGAAAAAACCCTATGGGAAAAAAAATCCTAGTGAAGGAAAAAGAGTACACATGTTTAGAAATACGCCTTTTAGTTGCCTCGTTAAAAATCTTGCAAGGAAAACCCAGTGGGACAAAATCTTGTAAAGGAAAAAGAGTATAACGCGTATTAACTCCCCCTGGTGAGAGCATCAACTCACATCCTTGAGCCTTCGCATCCCAATTTTGTACACCAGTTTCTTGAAGGTTGATGTTGGTAGAGATTTGGTGAACAAATCAGCCATATTATCAGTTGAACGAATCTGTTACACATTGATATCACCATTCTTTTGAAGATCATGTGTAAAAAATAACTTTGGTGAAATGTGTTTTGTCCTATCTCCTTTTATCAATCCTCCCTTTAATTGGGTTATGCATGCTGCATTGTCTTCATACAAAATTGTGGGTAGTTTTTCACACTTCAAACCACATTTGTCTCGGATAAGATGTATTATAGACCTCAACCAAATATATTCTCGACTTGCTTCATAAATAGCAATTATCTCAGCATGATTAGAAGAAGTAGCCACAATTGATTGCTTAGTCGATCGCCAAGATATGGCAGTGCCGCCACAGGTAAACACATAACCTGTTTGAGATCGAGCCTTATACGGGTCAGATAAATACCCAGTATCGGCATAACCAACAAGATCGGGATTGTAATTATTGCCATAAAATAAGCTCATATCGGTAGTCCCTTTTAAATATCGCAATATGTGTTTGATCACATTCCAGTGTCTCCTTGTATGAGCAGAGTTATATCTTGCTAAGACATTAACCGAAAAAGTTATGTCAGGCCTTGTAGTGTTAGCAAGATACATTAGTGCACCAATTGCACTAAGATATGGTACTTCAGGACCAAGAAGCTCTTCATTCTTTTCTTGAGGTCAAAACGGGTCCTTATTCACATCAAGTGATCGAACAATCATCAGAGTACTTAATGGATGTGCTTCATCCATGTAAAACCGTTTCAATACCTTTTTAATGTAGGCAGATTGATGAACAAAAATCTCATTTGTCACATATTTAATTTGCAAACCGAGACACAATTTTGTCTTCCCGAGATCTTTCATCTCGAATTCCTTCTTTAAATAATCAATTGCCTTTTGGAGTTCTGTAGGAGTTCCAATAAGGTTTATGTCATCGACATATACGACAAGTACAACAAATTCCGATGTTGTTTTCTTTATAAAAACACATGGACAAATGACATCATTTATATAACCCCCCTTTAATAAATACTCACTAAGATGGTTATACCACATTCTTCCTGATTGCTTTAGACCATACAAAGATCTTTGCAATTTGATTGAAAATATTTTCCGGGACTTTGAATTCTGTGTGTTAGGCATTTTAAATCCCTCAAAAAATTTCATGTATATCTCATTATCAAGTGAGCCGTAAAGGTAGGCTGTAACTACATCCATTAAATTCATGTCAAGCTTTTCATGGACAGCAAAATTAATGAGATAATGAAATGTTATAGCATCCATAACAGGAGAATATGTTCTTCATAATCGACACCAGGCCTTTATGAAAATCCTTGTGCAACAAGGTGTGCCTTATATCTTTGTACCTCATTTTTCTCATTCCTTTTGCGTACAAAGACCCATTTATAGCCAACAGGCTTAACACCATTAGGTGTTTGGACTACAGGCCCAAAAACTTCACGTTTTGCAAGTGAACTTAGCTCTAATTGGATTGTTTCTTGCCATTTTGGCCAATCAAGTCTTTATTGACAAAGATTGAGGTTCAAGATCCTCACTTTCTTGCATAATGCTAGATGCAACATTATGTGCAAAGATGTAATCCACCACTATATCCATTCGATTAAAATTTGTCTCAATATCAATTGGATTTATTGATAGTTCCTTATTTTCTTGAGTCTCAGGCTCATTGATTTCCTCATGAATCTCAGGATTGGTTAAATCGTGAATTTTTTTATGAGACTCTTTCGTAGTGTCATCTTGATCATTTATTTTCCTTTTTCTAGGATTTCGATCCTTAGAACCTAATGGTCTGCCACGTTTTAGCCGTGCTTTTGACTCATTAGCTATGACACTAGAAGATTTTCCAATAGGGACATCAATACGGATTGGAACATTCTCTGTAGGGATATGTGATTTTGTTATCCTTTTCAGATCCGTAAATGCATCTGGCATTTGATTTGCTATTTTCTGCAAATGGATAATCTTTTACACCTTTGTGTTACAAATAGAGGCACGTGGATCAAGATGAGACAATGATGTATTTTTCCACAAAATTTCACGTTTGGTTTCACTAATTTCTCCCCCTAATTTTGGGAAAAATGCCTCATCGAATCGACAATCTGCAAAACGAGCAGTGAACAAATCTCCCGTTAATGTTTCAAGGTAACGAATAATGGAGGGCGATTCAAACCCAACATATATTCCTAACCTTCTTTGGGGACCTATCTTGGTGCGATATGGGGGTGCTACAGGCACATATACAGCGCATCCAAAAATTCTTAGATGAGATATATTAGGTTCATGACCCAAAACTAATTACAACGGGGAATATTTGTGATAATTTGTCGGTGTGAGACGAATTAGTATTGCTGCATGTAAAATGGCATGACCCCAAATAGAAGTAGGCAACTTCGTTTTCATGAGTAACGGTCTTAGTATCAATTGCAGACGTTTAATTAAAGACTTTGCAAGGCCATTTTGAGTGTGAACATGAGCTACAGGATGTTCCACTTTTATCCCAATTGATAAGCAATAATCATTAAATGCTTGGGATGAAAACTCAGCAGCATTATCAAGTCTAATAGACTTAATTGGATTATCGGGAAATTGTGCCCGTAATCGGATTATTTGTGCCATTAATTTTGCAAACGCGAGGTTGCGAGATGACAATAGGCATACATGAGACCATCTAGAAGATGCATCTATTAAGACCATAAAATATCTAAACGACCCACTAGGTAGGTGAATAGGTCCATAAATGTCCCCTTATATACGTTCTAAAAACGCAGGAGACTCAATCCCAACGTTTGTTGGTGATGGTCTTATAATTAACTTGCCTTGATAACAAGAAGTGCAAGAAAATTCATTATTTAAAAGAATTTTCAAATTCTTTAATGAATGCCCATTTGAGTTTTCTATGATTCGTCTCATCATAATTGATCCAGGATGGCCCAATCAATCATGCCAAAGTACAAAAGTATTGGAAGTAGTAACCTTTTGGTTTAAGGTAGAATGTGCCTCAATTGCACTAATTTTTATCCAATATAGGCCACAAGATAAAGATGGGAACTTCTCAATAACTCTTTTTTGGGTAGAGACATTCTTGGTAACGATGAGATATTCCATATTATTCTCATCTATTATCTCAATATAAAATCCATTTCCGCGGATATCTTTAAAACTCAACAAGTTCCTCTTGGACTTGGAGGAGAACATTGCATTCTCTATGATAATTATTGATCCCATAGGCAGAGTTATAGTAGCTCTTCTAGAGCCTTCAATTAGATTACTACTACCAGAAATTGTAGTAATATCTGCCTTACACATACTTAAATGAGAGAAATATTTCTTCTCTTTGAATATTGTATGTGTCGTACATGAATCAATTAAGCAAATATTTTTACAATTGAACTTTGATCCAAGTTTGCTTTGAAAGATATCCATATTTGCTTTTTGTAGTTTGACATACAAAAGAAGTATATGAATAAATATTAGTATTTTTAGAGAAAAATGAAAAAGAAATAAAGTTAAACCAATAATTCAATAGCAGCCTTTAATGCATTTTCTGACAAATTCTAATTATTATACAAATAATTACACAAAAAATAATACAAGTACACATATGACTAATACAACTACAATAAATTTATTTACATGTATAAATTATTTGCATTTTCCTCCACATTGTATGAAAAATAATTGATCCGTGTAAGAAAAGAACATACTCATAAAAAAAAATTGAGGGTGAAGTAACAAAAGTTGTTCCAGGGTGCTTGTAAACCTTTTCTTAAAGAGAATTAAAGCAACGTAAAGGAAAGTTAAAATTGTTAAAAGATCACTGAGACTAGAATACTAATTAATAGGATATTACTCCTTCTTTGTGAAATTTATAAAATTTCAGAAATAAAAATATTTTTAATAACTACATAAGAAGAATTATAAAGTACAATAAAAATTACGAGATGTTTATTCATTACATACTACGAATAGGAAAGCATAAAAATTAAATTGCTCAATCATCTCTAACCACAGATCCATCGCCGATCAAGTGGTTTATTTTTTTATCAGGGTGCTCAAAAAGATCTGCCACATCCAAATGGGTGATGTCAAATTCATTGTCATAGACAAGATTGGCTTCAGGGCCTTTATTCTTCAGAGATTCTTGATAAAGCTCAACCAAATATTTTGGTATGCGACAAATTTTTGCCCAATACCCTTTTCCACCGCAACGATAGCATTTAGTTTCTGAACCCTCTGCGTTTCGCTTCTCATCTTTCCCTTTCCATTTTTGGAAGTTATTTTTCGGTGGAGGATGATTAACACCAGGAAATTTTCTTCCTTGGATATGGCCACGACCATGACCACAAATATG